TAATAAAGAAGACTTGATAACATTGCAAGTGTAAAGAGAAAATACAGTAATACACAAAGATATTATCTGATAAGTTCTTTACATAGACATGTAAATGAGCAGTTAGCCTGTCTGTCTCGCGCTTCATCAACGGAAGATCAAGCCACCACCACTCGTGCTGTGACCCACACGGGTCTACTGCTTCATAAGGACAGTATAATATTATAGTAGACAGATTTGAATTCTGAGAGTAATACATCCGGGAAGTCCCAGTGGTGAGTTGAAAATTAAACAGTTGTTGTGGGAATGAGCGTGACCGTGTTGAAGATCAGTTACTCCACATGCAGCAGCAGTACACCAGGTAGATCAGTCACCACCAGGAGGGGTGTAGGCTCCATACTCCCTCCACTAATCCCGAGGCATCAAGTGTTATGACTAATGGTTATAATTATAACAGATTTTTCAAGAGGTGGAGTGGTAAGCCAGCGGGAAGCCTCGGTCAGATGGCCAGAAGCTCCAGCTGCGGGTCATCAGGTGGCTAACACCCGCGTCAGGAAACACTTGTCCTGTTTCTTGACAAACCTTGCCTAACTGAGGCATATATACGCTACCTGTTTGTAATTATTATTGAAACTAGCAGTCACAGCATATAAGCCATGAGCATGTTTGCATGTGAAATGTACGCGGCTAGATGATCTTCATCCATGACAGTACAAAGGCAGTTATGACAGTAAATTCTTATTTGCATAATATTTCTCTCACGGGGAACCTTGATGATTTGACACATTACATCAACTATTTATTAATTACTTAATCTGGTGACGCGCGACGGGGAGGGAATCTCGAGCTTTGTGATATCTTATCATTAACCTTGGAGTGGTATTTCCTATAAGGTCGTGTAACGAGAGGGTAAAAGAGAGGTAAAGGGGAAGAAGACTTGAGGAGAACAAGAGAATGCAAGGACTGAGTAGAATACTGTATGTGTTGAGCTGTTAAGATTGTTGATTGACGCTGGTATAATACAGTTGCACGAGGGTATACAGTACATAGTGGTATGTTAATGAAATATAGGACCTTTAAATAGATGCCTTGGTGCTAGTGTATTTATATTGTATGAAGGTGTATTGTACGAGGATGTACTTGCATTATAAGAATGTATAATTGTATGTGGAGTGACTTTAGTGGGTTAACCTAAGTTAAATTTACTTAATGTATTTTTGTGCCAATATCATTTGAGCCTTAAAGAAAATTGAAAAATGATATGCATGCAAACGTAAGTAAAATCTTCCGTACATATTGTGGTGTAGTGCGCAGTAACCTGAGCAACATGCATGTTACTGTTAAAAGCTTCACAAGACAGATCTATGCTACTTGAGTGTAATATGCTAAAGTTGTGCACAAGGGCGTATGTATTGAACTGATGCACTCCCTCTTATATGCGCGCGCGCACACACACACACATACATAGCTTTGAGAAGGGGTATGATAAAGCTCATGGAGCAGGAAGAGTATCTAGTAGCGACCAGTGAATAGGCGGGGCTATGAGCTGTGACTCGAGCCCTGCATCCACAACAAGGGAAATAATGCCGATGGTGACACTCTTCAAATCGCTAGTGCTCCCTCACTTAGAATATTGCTCAGTGCTGACGGCCCCGTTCAAGGCTGGAACAAATACAGAGATCGTTTAAGGCTCACATTGAGCCTGTAAAGCACCTAAACTACAGAGAACGCCTGCAAGTCTTGAACATATATTCATTGGAACGGAGGAGAGAGAGGTACATGATAATATATGCCTGTAAGGTACTTGAAGGCCTGGTCCCAAATCTGCACACTGCCATAACAACATACTGGAGTGAGAGATATGGAAGGAAGTGTAAAATAAACCCAGTGAGGAGCAGGGGTGCGGTGGGGACAATAATGGAACACTGTATCAACATCCGGGGTCCCAGACTGTTCAACATCTTACCAGAGGATATCAGAAACACGGCTGAGACAAGTGTAGAAGCCTTCAAGAGGAACCTGGACAAGTATCTTCACCAGGTGCCAGATCAACCAGGCTGTAATGGATATGTGGGGCAGCGGGCCTCCAGCAGCAACAGCCTGGTTGACCAGGCAAGCACCAGACGAGCCTGGCCCATGGCCGGGCTTAGAGAGTAGGTAAATTCTCGAAGCTCTTCAAAGGTATATCAAAGGTATACACACACACTGAGAGGAATTGACAAGTTGGATAAGGAAAGAATGTTTCAAGAGACTGGAAGTTGAAAACTCATATGAGTCACAGGAATGTTAAGAAGTATTTCTTCATTTATACAGTTGTCAGGAATTGGAACAATGTGGAGAGTGGTGTAGTGGAAGCATGAGGCAGGATCCGTACATAGATTTGAGAGATACGGTACAGATCATGGAGCAGGGAGAGAGCGGACCTAGTAGCGACCCCTGCAATTAAAAATGAGTACACACACACACACACACACTATGCAGCATCAGGTGCAGCCCCAACCTGATCAAGAATATTCAAAAGCTTGAAAATATGCAAAGGTTTGCAACTATTCTTGTCCCAGAGCCAAGAAGATTACATTATGAGGGAAGACTAAAGGAACTGAACCTGAACACCCGGGAAGAGAGGAGGATTAGTGACGGGGGGGGGGGGAACATGGCGATACGTATATTACTAAGAGGGCCGATAAGGCTGATAAGGCTATGATATTTTTAACAATGCAAGGACCAGGTACGGAAATTAGCTAAAAATACATACGAGTCATAGGGATGTTAGGAAGTACTTGTTCAGACTCAGGATAGTAGCAAAGTGGAATGAACTGGATGTACAAGTAGTTGAAGCAAAGTAACTCCATCACACTTCTGAGCGCGCTCATTCTTCTCTCTCTCTCTCTCTCTCTCTCTCTCTCTCTCTCTCTCTCTCTCTCTCTCTCTCTCTCTCTCTCTCTCTCTCTCTCTCTCTCTCTGCCCATATTCACTAGTCCCACGGGTGTTTTTCGTCATAATTACGTCCTCCTTGATCCTGACTGACAAGTCTTTATTATGCAACGTTTTGCTCAAAGATGAGATTTCATAACGTTTCGCTGAAAGTGCCCCCTCAAGGGAGGTTCCTTGACGCTGGTGAGGGGCTCTTGATCTATGGAATTAAATCTGTGCTCCATCCCCACCCCCCCAGGCACTGTATAATTCCTACGGGTTTAGCGCTCCCCTCTGATAATAATAATAATTCACTGAATGCTGAGAGTTTTTGAATCATGACTTGAGAAGAAATTTCGAGAGAAGCGTTGTCTAATGAGGTCTTCGTCTGCTGTGTATATTTCCCAGGACTTCCTCTTCCTCTTTCTACCCCTCCTCCTCCTCATACTGTTTCTTCACAAAGCTTTGCATCTTGGATTGTCTCTTACTATACTTGATCAGGTACAGTGTGCATAATATTTTAAATCATACTTTAAAGTTCGTTAAAGCAAGTTTTAAATTAGTCTTGCATATACTCAATGTGATGTTTTCTCTGATGCGTATTCCTAAGATCTTCCTCCTTGTACGTCGCTGCACATGTGTCTAATTCATAACCCGTCTTTATTGTATCGATAATTTAAATAGAGCAAAAGTATTATATAAGATGTAGACAGAATAATGCTTATAAAAAATGTAAATTAATGTTGAAAATAGCCTATTAGTCTCACGGCCTCTCCTACTGCCATTACTGAAGATTACACTTCGTAGTTAATTTCCTGATCGTTTTACTACCTCTACAAGTTACCTTTGAGCCTCTCACTGTATAAGTTACCTTGGAGTCTCTCACTGTACAAGTTACCTTAGAGCCTCTCACTGTATAAGTTACCTTGGAGTCTCTCACTGTACAAGTTACCTTAGAGCCTCTCACTGTATAAGTTACCTTGGAGTCTCTCACTGTACAAGTTCCCTAGGAGCCTCACTGTTCTCTTCACTTGTCAAGTTTCCCACTTGTTACATGTCATCATCAATGATACGTGAGATCAAGTTCCTTTGGCAGGTCAGAGAGAGTGAGAGTGAGAGTGATCAGTTTACCTATTTGTGAACTCCAGTTTATAGTTATAAGAGTAGAATAGTTCTTCCCATCCTTGGATTCAACCTGATTATCTACCATTCCCAAGGTGTTGTAGGATCCCTACGGATTTAGTACTTCCCTAATAATAATAATATATAGTTGGAAAATATCATTGTGCTTTAATGTTGATCAAGTATCCCTCGTGATAAAACTCTCAGTTATATGTATTATGTATAGAAAGTGCTAAACCCGTGAGGGTCAGTTAGCGTACGGCGTCATGGAAGCTCGACACCCCGTTCGCTGATAGAAACTCAAATTCTCACAGCCAGACTTTCCCAACTGTTTCAGTATAGAGCCGAGTTAAGATGAAATTTATAATTATTATTTATATATGTAGTTTGCCACAGTGACTCCAAAGCCCGTGAAAGATCAGTAAACTATCTCTAGCTGGTCTCCATCAGTGGGGACCAGATTGGACAAGTTGACGAGGCTTGCGCAGTGAAGGAATATATGTAAACACTGTTGAGCGGTGAGAAGTTGAGTGTGACAGTGACGAGAGACCTTTCGCTCTGAGTATGAATTTTTACTTCACATGGAAGAATGTGTAAACACTGGCGCCGTTCAACATTATTTAAACATTCTGGGAAGTGTGTATTTTTCGATGTATATGCATTGAGAGCAGCAGTATATACACTGGGGGGTATATCTCCGTAAATGTATACATTATAGTTTACCCTAATCCTCATTTTAGTGACTAAATGTATTCCTGAGTGATGTTGCACATGTGAAATACAGCTTTAATTATCCTCGTGCAGTCAATAGGCTTCAAACATAACAAACCAACGAACTGACGCCTCATTGACGGATGCAGCTGCTAGTTAACGTAAATATTTATGTAAGTTGGGAGTAATGTGGTAGTTATAATTGGTTGTACTCGCTGAGAAGGCATACTCTAACTTCCTGTTAGGCTTCGTGGAGGTGTTGTACCTCGGTTTACCTGTGGATGACTTGAGTGCAGATGACCAGCATCATGTCTCGTAGCTCGATTGGTAGCGCACTCAGCTCGCTTAGTGAATGTCCGTGGCTCGATCCCCGGTACGGGTGGACACATTAGGCCTTGTGTTCTTAAGATACCTGTAGTACCTGTTCACCTAGCAGCAAAATAGGTACCTGGGTGTTAACCGACTGGTGTGGGTCGCATCTTGGGGGACAAGATTAACTTAAGTTGCTCGAAATGCTCTGCATAACTAGGGACTTTCTGTATAGTATGTTATTGATGTCAGCTATGGTCTATATAAGTTGCATCATGTACTTGTAGAAATCGAGATTATTATTTGATGCTCACGTGGTTTCGTAACCAGTAGCTTAGTGGGAGTGTTCGGCTTACAACTAAAAGCAGCAGGGTTCGATTCTATGAGTGGGTGAGAAGGGTGAGTCTTCTTACACCTGCTACCCGTATTCGTCTAACAGTAAGTAGGCACCTGGGTGTTCAAGCAGACTGTTGTGGGTTGCGTTTTAGGGATGGATTTAAATGAAAATGAGCCATGCTAATGGTCTTCGTGTAATTATCCCAAGTTAATGTTACCCGGGAGTAAATAATTCTGAGGAGCTCCTCAGCTGGAGGATTCTCACTGAGGAATTCTTGAGGTGAAGAGGCGATGGTATTGACAAGGTATCTACATTACTCAGCCCAGCCTAATACTTATTTCACATATAAATCAACGTTTGACGTCAAGCGTATCGACGGCTAAGTGGAAGTCCTTCGTTACGGCTCACGGCATCATGTATGTCACGGTACCGTGTACATGGGGTGAGGGCTAGGAATGCAACAATCACCGATATTGCACAATATAACCAACATAAATGTGTCTGCTTTCGGGAATCTGGATAAAATCGACTTCACAATCGGTAGTATATCAGGAGAGGTGGTAATGGATAACGAGCACGAAAATCTATGCACGGCCATATTGACCAGACTGGAACACTCTGGAATGTGACGGTCTGTCAGCGCTAGGCTGCATTGCTGCTTGTGCCTGTGGAACTCGGCATACCTTAGTGATGTCTGTGAGACACACACACATACACACACACACACACACACACACACACACACACACACACACACACACACACACACACACACACACACACACACACACACACCAATAATAATAATAATTAATAATAATAATAGTTTTTTTTTTTTAGATATTTCATTGTGCTTAATAGTTACATTCCTATTCTAAAATACATTTTTATCATTTCAGGTAAGATGATGGAGGACCCGGGAACGGTAAGATGTTAAATTATAAATGTGTAAGATAGAGCAATATGGGAATATTAATGCAAGGAGAAAGAAGGTAACCGCACAATGGTAACGAGAGATGTTAATTATGAGAGGTGTGCAGTGGGTAAGGTTTGGGTAGCCTATACTCTCTCGCACTAAAACTGGCCTTCCACACGTGCTACCCTCCACCTCCCAGTTATTTCTACCTTCCTCCTGCCTATATATTGTGTCCCTCCCCTCCATAACCATAATTTTTAAAAGGGTGGAGGGGTAAGCCAGTGGAAGGCCTCAGTCAGTTGATTAAAAGCTCCAGCGGCGGCTCATCATATGACTAACACCCACGTTAGGAAACACTTGTCCCTTTTCTTACAAACCTTACTTAACCTAACCCTCCCCCGTTATCTGTACTAACTTGAAAAAAAAATTGTCACACAGGAGAATCTTTGTCAGTAATTAAGGCTCACGTACTGCATTCCATCATCTTTTTATTAACAATGTGGCGATATTCGTTTACTATTATTGTCAAGATCAACCTTAGCAATAACATTGATAAATGCAAATTTGGTTATTTATCTTATATACTGTATCAGCGTCAACACTCTTTTATTCAGTCAGTTGTGTATAGTGTCCAGCGCCATGCATGTGGTCATTTTATTCAACCAGACAACTTTAAGAATGCAGCTTTTTTTTTTTTTCTTATTTTTTTTAGTGATGACAAAGTTTTAGCTATTTTGTTAGTTCACAGAAAATGTCTACCATGACAACGTTGTTGAAGCGTTCATTGTTTATACACTCATACATTCCTGAGAGACAGTGGGGGTAGTGTATTGTGGAGGGGGGTGGTTCATGAATATAGTGGTGGTGTATTGTGGAGGGGGTGGTTCATGAATATAGTAGTGGTGGTGTAATGTGGAGGGGGTGGTTCATGAATATAGTAGTGGTGGTGTATTGTGGAGGGGGTGGCTCATGAATATAGTGGTGGTGTATTGTGGAGGGGTGGTTCATGAATATAGTAGTGGTGGTGTATTGTGGAGGGGTGGTTCATGAATATAGTAGTGGTGGTGTATTGTGGAGGGGGGTGGTTCATGAATATAGTAGTGGTGGTGTATTGTGGAGGGGGTGGTTCATGAATATAGTAGTGGTGGTGTATTGTGGAGGGGGTGGTTCATGAATATAGTAGTGGTGGTGTATTGTGGAGGGGGTGGTTCATGAATAATATAGTGGTGGTGTATTGTAGAGGGGGGTGGTTTATGAATATAGTAGTGGGGGTGTATTGTGGAGGGGGGTGGTTCATGAATATAGTAGTGGTGGTGTATTGTGGAGGGGGTGGTTCATGAATATAGTAGTGGTGGTGTATTGTAGAGCGGGGTGGTTCATGAATATATAGTGGTGGTGTATTGTGAGGGGGTGGTTCATGAATATAGTAGTGGTGGTGTATTGTGGAGGAGGTGGTTCATGAATATAGTAGTGGTGGTGTATTGTAGAGGGGTGGTTCATGAATATAGTAGTGGTGGTGTATTGTAGAGGGGGTGGTTCATAAATAGTAGTGGTGGTGTATTGTAGAGGGGTGGTTCATGAATATAGTAGTGGTGGTGTATTGTGGAGGGGTGGTTCATGAATATAGTAGTGGTGGTGTATTGTAGAAAGGGGGGGGGTTCATGAATATAGTAGTGGTGGTGTATTGTGAGGGGGTGGTTCATGAATATAGTAGTGGTGGTGTATTGTAGAGGGGTGGTTCATGAATATAGTAGTGGTGGTGTATTGTAGAGGGGTGGTTCATGAATATAGTAGTGGTGGTGTATTGTAGAGGGGTGGTTCATGAATATAGTAGTGTTGTATTGTAGAGGGGGGGGTTCATGAATATAGTAGTGGTGGTGTATTGTGGAGGGGGTGGTTCATGAATATAGTAGTGGTGGTGTATTGTGGAGGGGTGGTTCATGAATATAATAGTGGTGTGTTTGGAGGAAGTGGTTCAGAATACGAAGTTGTGTATTAGAAGTGCATACGTTCATTTAACAAATGTGACCCCTGTGACTTTTGCAGGGTCCTTCCATGGTTTATAAGTAGTGTGCCGTATTTATTCAAGATTGATGGATGGACACATCGATCAAGTTGAGGGATATTACTTCATATCTCCTTCGTTCTCCATTTCTAGTTGGACTGATGAACCAATGTGTGGCAACGTTTCTCACATAAGTCCAGATGCACATGTGTTAATTATCAACATGTCGTTCTCTGAACCATTCACTACAAACCTGCACACTGCAACTTCTGGATCTAATACTTAGGAATTCTTCGTTGCTAATTCTGGCACATCGACTTCAATTGAGACAATTACCTCCTATGCTCCTGCTCCATTCCTCCTACGGGTTTATAAGCCTTCTGTTTTGGCGAACGTTTCTCAAAATGATGACCCAAGACTCAAGGTTGAGGGGCTAATTTATCAAATCTGTCGTGTTTCTGATCCGTTTTCTCTTAACGTGGTCTGAGAAAGCCACTGTGTGGGAAGTTTCTCAAATAAAGATACCCAAGAGTTGCGTTCTAATTTATCACATGTCGGTTCTCTGAACATTAATTCAAATGTCAGACACTAACTCTGGGATTAATACTGGAATTCTTCGCTTGCCTAATTGGAGTATACATTGCAATGTGCTTTCCAATGACTTGCACTTCCTGCATACGGTTTAAAGCTGGCTCATCGATTCTATCAAGATGTGACGGAACATGGGCTCGGTTCTGATTACCTCTTCTCCGGTGTTTCCAGTTTTCCTACGTATGGACTGAGAAGCACTGTGTGGCGAAACGTTTCCTCAATAAAGATACCAAGAGTTTGCACATGTGGTCTAATTTATAATAGTGGTGGTGTATTGTAGAGGGGGTGGTTCATGAATATAGTAGTGGTGGTGTATTGTAGAGGGGGTGGTTCATGAATATAGTAGTGGTGGTGTATTGTGGAGGGGGTGGTTCATGAATATAGTAGTGGTGGTGTATTGTAGAGGGTGGTTCATGAATATAGTAGTGGTGGTGTATTGTGGAGGAGGGTGGGTTTATGAATATAGTGTGGTGTATTGTGGAGGGGTGGTTCATGAATATAGTAGTGGTGGTGTACTGTGGAGGGGGTGGTTCATGAACATAGTGTGGTGGTGTATTGTCGAGTGGGTTGGTTCATGAATATAGTAGTGGTGGTTATTGTAGAGGGTGGTTCATGATATATAGTGGTGGTGTATTGTCGAGGGGTGTGGTTTCATGAATATAGTAGTGGTGGGATTATGTGAGGGGGATGGTTCATGAATATAGTAGTGGTGTGTATTGTGGAGGGGTGGTTCATGAATATAGTGGTGGTGTATTGTAGAGGGGGTGGTTCATGAATATAGTATTGGGGGTTTATTGTGAGGGGGTGGTTCATGAATAAAGTGGTGGTGTATTGTAGAGGGGGTGGTTATGAATATAGTAGTGGTGTATTGTAGGAGGGGTGGTTCATGAATATATAGTGGTGGTGTATTGTGGAGGGGGTGGTTCATGAATATAGTAGTGGTGGTATTGTGGAGGGGGTGGTTCATGAATATAGTGGTGGTGTATTGTGAGGGGTGGTTCATGAATATAGTAGGTGGTGTATTGTAGAGGGTGTTTCATGAATATAGTAGTGGTGGTGTATTGTGGAGGGGTGGTTCATGAATATAGTAGTGATGGTGTATTGTAGGGGGGTGGTTCATGAATATAGTAGTGATGGTGTATTGTAGAGGGGGTGGTTCATGAATATATAGTGGTGGTGTATTGTAGAGGGGGTGGTTCATGAATATAGTAGTGATGGTGTATTGTAGAGG